TAAGTAATTGTATATCTTGCTTGCTTAGCGTCCAATAAACAGAATTTACTATACTATTAATTATCAATTTAAATATATCGTGGCTGATGACTTGAAGCAAAGCAAGTTGGCGGAAATATTTAGATTATGTTCATGTTTTGCCTTTTTCTGCCTAATTGTTTGAGATGTCTATTTCATATTTACTTTGGTAATAGTGATTACTGTCTTATAATCTTACTGTTTGATATATATTTGTTATTGTGTGGCTAACCTTTCTTTTAAGGCAAATGCACAGGCATGATCAGATTTGTAAAAATTGCGCCTAATGAAAATATCTCCAGAATATTCTAACCGTTAATGCTCGTTTCAGGTCATTTTTTTAACTATTGTACCAAAATAAAGCTGTTTTTTTCTCTCAGAAAACGATTTATTAGATGCAGTTGGCTAACTGGGTATCGAGCTGGAATTTTATCTGGTAACACTGTATTGAATTGAAATATAACAGTAAACCCTGCTGTTAAATAAGCAGTTAAAAAAAGGTCTAAACAAATATTCTAATTCATACATTTTAAATGAAATGTTTAAAAAAAAGCCTATGATATTTCATGTCTTAATGTTTCAATCGAGTGTTAATACCCTCAGCTATACACCTTCCAACAGACGCTTAAGGATGAAGGTTCTAAAATAGTGATAATAATCATAACAAATAGATAACTACAAAAAACGTGTAAATAAACGATATCATTGTCCTTTGCCTCTAACTCCTCTTCGCTTTCCATTTACAAGCTGATAATTATTTCACCTAAATGTGTGTTCGTCTGAACATTCATTTGTTCTCCCCATGAAACGGTGGTGTAACATAGATGATTATATTTCATGCAATTCTTATAAAACATCAGTTAATGAGCGCGCTACCTTCACGTCAGCTCGTTTAGCTGGAGCCCTAATTAAGCCTATTGTTATCAATGTTATGAAAGAGGAAGGGAAAATAATACTAGACAATAATATATGTTACTAAGTTCTAATAATGGTTATTATTTCAAGTATATATAAAATACGATATATATATATGTGTGTGTGTGTGTGTGTGTGTGTGTGTGTGTGTGTGTGTGTGTGTGTCTGTGTGTGTGTGTGTGTGTGTGTGTGTGTGTTATGTGTGTGTGTGGACGGAAGGTATCATATCATACCATATATTTTTTTTTTCGACAAGCGAACATCAAGTTAATAGGTAAACAGTGTGCATATCTTTTTTCTTTCTTTCTTTTTTTTTTAATAAAGCTCATGGAAACACTTATCCTTCACCGAATGTAAGCTTTAAACAGTATAGCAAAGTGAGGGCATTAACATTTCATTAGAAAATCAGGACAGGGACTATCTCTGTCATGTCACCATATAAGCGTACTGTTAGTAGAAATATTGTCCTAATTTTAATGTTCTTACTGTAATAGTAGTTTTCATCATTAATGAGATTTTTCATTCAATATTGTTATGTCTTGTTATGAAAGCAAATTTCCGTTACTTAAGTATGGCAATTCTCCCAGCAACTAGTGGATAAAATGGATACGAAATGGCCATCTACGTGTCTCAGGAAGAAAGAGAAGTGCAATTAGAAATAACTCAAGTAAATAATTTGATTTTCATGAATTTTGTTACGTTTTGTGCATTACATACTTACGTGTTTATTTCCTTTTAAATATTGGAATATGAGCTGCCAGTTTTGCTCAAACCTTTTTGGTTTATTTTTCTTAATCACCAAACAGCCAGTTATCAAGAACTACCTATTTCACCTGTTTAACTTTTTCCTTCACTCTAGGAAAAGTTTTTTTGTATCATTTCATTGTCTAAAATATTCTAATGACAATTTAATAATCATAACATCAATAACAATAACAGTATCGATAGCAATGGTATTATTTTTCCCGCCAATTGAATGAATGGGAAAATCAGGGTCGGTAACTAGGGCCTACTGATAGACTCCTTGCCGGCTGAGTACATGTGGAGCCATCTGTAGGTAACAAAATTCATCAAAAACTACAGAGGACAGAACATAATTCCGTGGCGAATGGGTTAACAACAGAGCATATATTGATGTACTTGAATGCATTAGTATTGCCAGATAAAATCCAAGCTCGATAACCTCAGAGTGGCCGACCATTTATTCGGCCAGCTGTACATGTTGGGTTGGTTATTTTATAAAATGTTTGGTGCTTGAAATGAATGATAATGGTTGCAATTTCATTAATATCATTGTTAATACTAATGGTAAGAATAAGTAAAAAATAGTAACAGTAATTATGATAGCAATGATTTTAATAATATTGATACCAATAGTAAGGATAAGAAAAAATAGCAACAATGGCAATGGTTATATTGATGATACTAATGCTAATTATAATGATAATGATAACGTAAGTGATGATAATGATCATAAAAACTGCCACAACATTGATAATTGAAGAAATGCCAGATCATAAAACCCAGTGTCATGAGAATGCTCGTTTGGCAGTATGTGAACGTCATCAGAAATCAGCAACTGACCAGCAATTACCTCTCGCGTCCATTACTGTGTATTAAGATGCAAATCGTGTTTGTTTACGCATGACGTCTGTGTTTCGAGGAAGTTGTTAACCACTTAGGTTCCGGTTCGATTTGATTCGGACTAATTATAGGTTAGCAATTAGTAGGTTAGGGCCCATAATTCTCACTATTGTATGTGTTAATGTCTCCATATTTCGTAGGTTAACAAGTCTCAGAATTCCATGTGTTCATAAATCTCGTCTTTTTCATATATTGGTAATTCCCATTACTACATACAGTTTATAAAGTCACTACTGATTTTATATAAAACTTGTGAAGGAAATTCAGATCCAAGCTGTTTCATCCACTCGGTTTTAACAGCAAGGAATTCCCCCAACAACCGATCAGAATTTATGGCGATCAATCCTCATCAACCACGTAGAAAAAAAGGAATTTCCATAGCGCGCGTTTCCAGGAAATAGTTCATCATTTGAAAGTTTTCATCGCATGTCCAGCTTTGGCCTCGTCGGTGTCAATCACCCGAGGCATAATTTGGTAAATTCACTCCGCCCAAATGATTGCTAGAAGATAATAATAGGAATACGAGAAGTAGTGCATTTTTTCGTTTCTTTTTCTCGAGGGAACGTCACCGGAAAAACATTTTGCAACAAGAGACGAAATAGCGATAATAGGAGCACGTGTGCCTGTACATGCACATTCGTATACTTGCAATGGGATTCCCTAGCGTGTCCGCATGCAAGAATGAAATTTGCAAATCTATCTATTCATATTCATACACACAAGGGCCATAAATATTCAGTTGTTGTAAGGAAGGAAGGAGTTTTATAACATGTTGACTCACCAATTTGCATGTCTGTGTGTCGAAAGGGAACGTTATGAGGTCGAATTGACATGAGGTCGTGACTGTGAGTTTCTGCACCATCACCAGCGGATTGTCACGGCCTTCGAAGGTCTCATCTGGATGTGAAAGTGTAAGTTAACAAGTGTGAGGAATTTCGAAAGAATGATTAAGAATGACCGCGTGTGGGAAATAATGGATAGGCGATCATTAGTTAAAGAAGAAAAAAAGGTTTGACAATTCATACTTAGTCCATATTACCAAGATTATTTTGTTCATGTTTTAATTTTACATTTCTGTTTCATGCTGAATCATCTGGCTTTTAAATGCTAGACTGTACCTTCCCATAGTTTTGCACTGTTGTCAGGCAGAGGCTTCTTCTTCCTCTGGGCCATGAGGAAGCTGTATCGATTGTTCACGTCGCTCGTAGTCAGGGCATCGCCGAAGAACTCCACGTCGGGCTTCCAGGGCATGCGCTCCGTCAAGTGAATGATGTTTAAGAAGCTGTCATTCTTCAGGTGCAGCAGCGTCAGCCGAGAGTCCTTCCACGAGAAGCGCACTTCGATTTCGCAGACGAAGTTGAAACCCGTGAGATCGAAGGCGCGCATCGACAGCATCAGGACATACACGGACACGTTGACCGGGCTAGAAGGGTGCAGGCGCGGCGGCGGAGACTTGTCGTCGTACCTCGAAGGAAAGACCAAGAAGTTGCAAGAAACCTCGTCTGATTCGTCGGGGCAATTGATTTCCTTGTTGCATCGCTGGTGGATGGGAATGCAGGTCCCGTCGTCGCAAGAGAACTGGCGCTCCCTGCACGAGGTCATCCTCAGCGGGACTTCCCGGCCCCCACAGACGTCATTGCTCACTGTCCAGTTGTTGAGGCCCACCGGGTAGTGGGTGGGGAACCTCAGGGCCAGCGTTGCCCTCACGCTGGGGTCGTCGAGGCGCGACAGCTGCCAGAAGCCGAAGTCTGACGCCGAGGCATTTTCAGGGGGAGCGTGTTTGGTTATGACGGAGTAGTACGCCCCGTTGAACATGGGTGAGTCTTTGGTATTGGGGAGGAAATATTCGCGATCGAACAGTGACCTCTCGCATAAACCTCGCAGCTTTAAGAACGACATCTGTTTGAAGCGACAGACGGCGCAGAATTTCATCTCGCAGTTCCTAGGCGCCCACTCGCCCGAAGAAACGGTATCTTGGCTTCGCTTGAATGACGCACAGGCCTCAGAGTCATCGAAGGCTGCTTTGTGCCCGAAGTTAGCGTAGGTAATTTTTGTCTGCGTAGACGTGTCGTACCAGTACTTCCCCGTCACATTACGCTGAATACCCAGCCATACGCTGCCGCAGGTGTCGACATGCTTAAGAGAGAGGTTGTTAAGCTCTGCATTATGGTCGTTATTCTTTGGTGCTTTCAGGTTGGCTGCGAGAATCTGGCAGTGATGAGAAGCTTCATCAAAAGTTCGCACCTCCGGGAACAAGATGTCATAGGGCTTCCATTCACTGCAAAAGTGACTACCAACCCCGTCTTCAATTTCTACGTCGCTAACTTCGAAGTCACTGGTGATGTTACTAAAATCGATAAACGGAGTAGCAGAGACTTGCATAGGCTCACAGTTAGTGTATTGTTCCAAGATTGTTATTGAGAAGATCTTCTCATAAAGGCGGTAGTCCACCAGGGATCCGGCCAGGCTTTGGGTCTTATCGAAGCCTTCCCCAGGGCGGTCCTGTTCCTGGCCAATGTACAGCATACCCCCTCCACGTATAAACGGATTTCCGAGAGACTCGTCTATGATACCAGGTATGACTTTTCCATCCTGAACGACCACATTCGTCCCATTAGCGAAGTCTAGAGACACGCAAATAGACGACCAGACGTGCAGTTCCACTTTCAACTTTATGTCCTGCGTCCACTTGGGGTCACAACAGGTCATCATCAGTTCACTATTTTTGTAATGAAACCCTGGGAAAAAAATTGTATTGTGTCATTATAAATAGGGTTTCTATCTGATTAATGAATCGGCAAGTTTGTTTTCAGTAAAAAGCACATCTCATGAGGTGAAAGCAAGCAGTTTAAAAGGACTTGTTGAAATCGAGTCAGTACTTACCAAAGTATAATTCATTATCGTTTTCAGGGTGAGCATACGACAGTACCATGATTTCGTCTCGTGCTTGAAAGAGATACAAGCGGAAGCAGAAGGTTATCTGGACGAGGTCTGGTATTTCGCTAAGGTACTTCAGGTAAGTGTCTTTCGAGGCTGCTCCACTGCGCTGAAATGTTGCCATGGTAACAACATCATCCGGGCCTGGGTGAAAGTAATTCAGACACGTTTGAACTCATACTTGAAGTTGATGATAATGACCGCAAAAATAGATAAATAAGTAAAATATGTATAAATAAATACACAAGGAAATACAGATACATAGAATAACTACAATAAGGTCCTCACCAGTATCACCTTGGCACTCTACAAAACACAGAGAGCAAATTAACAAGACGGCGACGCAGAAGACCACGCCATCAGCTTGTTCGGAAGCACGAGAGCATCTTCCAAAACGCCACAGTCCTCTTAGAACAAAGGCTTTAGTCCTCTTGGTCCTCTTAGTCGTCTTAGTCCTCTTACCTCTGTCATCCAGGTAATCAGCTGATGTTCCCATAGTGGGAAGGCGAACAGAGCGCTCTGCTAACTCCAGGTGAACTTTGGTCGATCTGTTGAAAAGGGAGGTAAAGAGGTTAAGTGTGCAAAGCATGGAATATATCGTTGGGAAGTGTGATACTGTTATTTCTTTTTGGATAAAACAAAGAAAAAAAATATGATATCATCTAGGGAAATAGGCCGTTTTGATATTAGTTCTCTTCATATATAGGAGTTTGGCTGAAGTCGCCCAAACTCGAAAAAGATGAGGTATTCTCAAAAAAAGTGTTTGGTGTTAGCTGTCATTGAACTTTTTTTAGGTCGAATGATTATTTTTCAACTAATAGTAGTTTAACACGGAATTCTGCGATTCTTCTGTCGTGAAAATTAATTGAGCTGTTGAAATGGTTTTCTTGAACTGTATTTTGGACGATAACTGACACATCATTATATGTGCATGTACACACGCACATTCACACATACGGAAAGAGAGAGAGAGAGAGAGAAAGAGAAAGTGAAAGTGAAGGAGAGAGAGAGAGAGAGAGAGAGAGAGAGAGAGAGAGATACACCCAAATGATGAAACGAGCATGGGCAAACATAACAAACAAACAAACAAATGAAGTACAAAGGTCCGATCTCCACGTATTGACTGAACCGTATTCATATTGACAAATGTAGAAAAATCTTCACAATACAAGAGATGTATTTGACCGGTTTCGATCATATCTTCGTCAAAAATACATGTATTGCTGGCGTAGATATAATCGAAACCGATCAAATACACATCTTTTATTGTGAAAATATCCATTCTCATCCATACCTTTTCTACAAACGCAATTATTCCTCGTTAGGAAAATTTGTCTTTGAGTTCAAGGCATCTTCTCCAGCACACACACACACGAACGTTTTCATTTGCATTTGAGTGATTTTTGTTGTTGATTTTGTTGTTTATGTTATGTGTGTTATACGTTTATTTGTGCGTGTGTATATACATGTTTGTTTGTATATCTGTGTGCATGTGTGTGTGTGTGTGTGTGTGTGTGTGTGTGTGTGTGTGTGTGTGTGTGTGTGTGTGTGTGTGTGTGTGTGTGTGTGTGTGTGTGTGTGTGTGTGTGTGTGTGTGTGTTGTGTGTGTTCGTGTCCTCGGGTATGCGTATGCATGTGCGTATGTGCTTATGTGTGTGTTCCGAGACGATTACGAATGTTGAAAAGAATGGATATTTATGAAGCTTGTAATTATATTTATGTACAGATTAATATTCAAGGAAGAAATTCGGGCACACGTTGCATACTCCACGTTTCCTTGACGGTCATTATGCCATCACCTCTACAAACGTTCTGTGAATGAATTGATAACGATCTGTCCTCTCCTTCTGTCACTTGCAAAAGCACCTCATGCGGAAAGAGTCGTTATATCACTTAAGGTATCAATTAAGTTATGAAAGCATGGGATTTTTTTTATATAAAAGTAACCATGAGGAAATGTAGCGGAAAAATGCAAACTGCGACGAA